CACCTACTTTAAACTTTTAATAAGAACATTTCACTGCAAAAAAAAGGTCAATTCAAATAACATTTACTTTGTGCACCAAAGTTTGCTCTCAGCTTTGAAGATCAGAAACTTGCTATCATTATCATCCCAAAAGTATAGCTCATTCTCTCAAAATCAAATTCATGTTAACTGTAAGCTTACAATTGACTATATTAAGGAGAAAGGTAGTTTATTAAGAAATATATATCTAATGTAGACAGTAATGCTCACACTTTAAAGCACACGTTTTTTCTTGCCTACTGATCTGCATCTGCTTCTTGGAATGTGGAACCACAGAAAGGGTTTGAGTTGCGTGAGTCAATGTTGGGCTATGACACATCTCTCCCTATAATTGAGTTATTCCAGTACAGTTTGGGTTTCTCAAGTCTCTGAGCTGGGCAACCCTTTTTTGCAATCTTGTTGAGTTGGACACTGCTAGCTTTTGATCTTTTTGGTTCCCTTTCCTGTGTTATGTTGTCTCTTCCCCATATGCACAAATGGTCTTTTCCCAAGTGGGTATACCAGCTTTTCACCTTATTTATGATCATATCTTGTACTGCCTACCCAAGAGGCAATCCAGGTTACATTACTGCATTCAGACTTTACCAGGGGCCATCTGTATGTCTAGGTTCTAGATGACACCTCACTGTCAGCACATGTATATTGTGTGTGCACGCGCATGCACACACATCTTTACTCTTTTTCTTCTGCTCTTAGAGATCAGATTAAATGCCTTCTTTAGCTGCTTGGAAGCACTCAGTTTCTGCTTGTCAATCTTGGTGATCATGACCTTCTGATTTGTCCTTCAATTTGTCTTCAAACTCTTTTCTTCCATTTTCACTTTGTTTCTTCTCTCAGCACATTTCCTTTCTGTCATTATGTCTCTATTTTCAACTTGCTCACAGTTCTTTCCTTCACTCCTTCCCAAACAATATCATACTCTTATTGCATTTATAACATTGATAGCTCTATTTACTATTGATTGGAGAATTCACGAAAGTGTATTGCCCTTAAGCAGTCATTGGCCTTCTGGTGATATTGGTTGTTTTCGGCCAATTTGTCAACTTCTGGGTTATCTGTCAAACAGCTTCATAATTACTGGGTGGCCGATGCATTGGCAGCCCTTGAAATCCTAACTAAAATGCTGTTGGTAGCTGTTTGTCAGCTTTGCAGAAATAAACTTAAATACTTGGAGAAAGCTAAGTGCTTGCAATGAGAAGTGAAACAAAATAGAAGTATAATTCCATTTTTGCATAAAGTAAATATACTTATTTTTTTTAATATACTAAGCTTACCAAATTTTCCTACTGCCTGTACACAAATGCTGAGAAAGTTAATCACCTAGAAAAGCATTTTTTGGCATTGGCATAAACTAAGTACGTGAAGCATTCCCTTTGGTTTTAGAATTCCCTTATGCAGTAGTGACAAACATAGTACTTCTTAAATTGGAATTTTAAAATTGGAGTCTAGCTTTTCCCATGATTGGAATGTAGCCGAGGACCAAGTGTGCCCACTGCTTATTGAGTTTGGTTAACAGTGGTTACTAAATGGTATATAATTTAATGCACCTGCAGGGTACAATTAGAAACATTTGTTAATATATTTTAATGCATAGTTTATCACTTGTTATTAATTTATTTTATGACTGATTTAACTTTCAAGAAAACATCATAAACCCCTATTGTGCTGCTTATGAAATATCGCAATTCTTTTTTTCACTTAAACCTAGTCTAAATGGCTTGTCATTTATGCAAACATGATATTTTTTTCTAAATAGATCTAACTTTGAAATAAATTCCAAAGAGATTAACATATCTAGTGGAAAAGAAACCTGATTATTCTGCATTGTGTTACTGCATTATACATTTGAAACAGTGAATGAATGAGTGAGCATTGCCATCTTCTGGTCATTTATTTAAAAAATATTCATTGAACACTTACCTGTATGCCATTCATTATGTTAGGTGTTAAGATACAATGTTAAGTAAAATAGGATACTTGACCTTCATTGAATGTATAACTTACTAGGAGAAAGACACATTAAACGTAATCAGATTAAAAGTAAAATGTTAAAACAATGGTCATGATAAATTCTAGAGGCACTTATAATTGGGAATTTTGACTCTCTCAGGGAGGCTAAAAAGGATTTTACTGAGAGATGACAACTGGGCCAAAACCAGAGGGATGAGATGTTAACAAGGTAACATGGGGCAGGTGAAAGAGCATTCCTACCAGGAAACAGCAGGTGTAATGACTTGGTGGTAGATATGAGTCTGGGAAGGGTGAAGGACTAAAAGAACGCCCATGTGGCCATCTGAAGAGCTACTGGAAACCACTGAAGAGAGTTAAATAAAGGTATGACATGAAGTCTACGGTTAAAAATATATTCTCACTATGTTATAGGTAAACTGGAGAGGGGCAAGAGTGGACGTAGACAAACCCATTACCAGTCACTGAACCAGGAGAGCAAGGAGGTCAAGACAGAAAAAAAATAAAGTGGTGCAACTTGAGAGAGAGCTAGGAGATAAAATTAACAGGACTTGGTAATATATTTATTGTGAGGGATTTAGAAACGAGAGCTACCTATAATGAGTCCTAGGTTCATAACTGAAAGGACTGTTCCATTCCTGGAAGCAAGAAACACCAAAAAAGGGATGGATGAAGGACATGGACTCAAATGTGAGGTGGCGGTGATTTTAAGCATATTCCAAAGGAACTGTTAAGTAGGCAGTAGCACATTTGGGCCTGGAGCTAAAAGGGAGATCTCAGCTGAAGATAGAAACTGTTGAGTCATCTTTGTTTAGATGGCAAACTGAAACAACATACACACACAAGGTCACTTAGGGCTAAAAAGGGTACTGTGAAAAGAGCTGCCCTAGGACTGTCCCTGAACTTTTAACATTTTATGACTGATTAGAGGTGGATGAGCCTTCAAAGACCAAGATGGAGTGGCTAGAGAGGAAGAAGGAAAACCTGGAGAGGATTCTGTCATATGCCATGGAAATCAAGGGAAAAGTGTTTCAAGAGAAGGAAGTAATCAACAGTGTCAAACGCTGCGAGATTTCAAGTAAAATGAAACCTGAAAAATTCCTGTTAGACTTTTGGAAATCACTTCTGTCCTGGACACCACAGAGTGTAACTCCACAAACTGGAATTGTGTGGCATGCAGAAATGGAGATAGTGCGTTAGGACATCTCTAAAAGCTTGGCTGTGAAGCAGCTGCAAAGAGGGTGTTCCTAGTGAACTTTGTAGGAGGATGTTTTGTCTTATCTTTAGTGGAAATGACTCAAGCATGATACACCAGTGGGAAACGTCCATTTAAGGGATTGGCAGTGCTAGAGTAAAGGGATAGTCTGTAGCTAGGGTTCTAGGGTGCCAGAAAGGATGGGATCCAAAACACAGTTAAAAGGTGAACCTCACATATGTGTAGAGCTATTTCTTATATTGTCACTTTATTAATAGGAAGAGGGTGGGTGATGCAAGTAAATTTGTATTCATGGTAGTAGAAAGATGACTGTACCCATCTGATGTTTATTTTCTCCATGACATTGAAAGAGATGAAGAGGCAGGTCAGACGTTTTAGGAAAGCACACAGAGGTTTAAAGTGGTCATAGTTTAGTGAATTGACAAAAATGTAGGATTGCTAGGAGTTGTAGGGTCCCATTTGAGGTTAATTATGATGACTTTATAGTAGAATGTCTCAAGTATTTACTGGCTATTGGGGTGCTGTGATAAAGAATTCAGAGTGTTGTTCTCATCCTAGATTAACTAGAGGGATTGTTAACTAGAGGGATAGGGGAGCTTAAGGTATTGGCAAGTATTGATCATGTACCTAAACTGGATAATAGAAAAATTAAAAGAAAAGATTAACTAAACTGTTTGAGAGAAAATATAGAGGTCAGCGAATTACTGATCCCAGTGAAGTTAAAAACAATTGTGGTGGGTGGAATTGAACAAGCAAGCTGATAGAAATGGTGATCTCAGCATGGAGTATTTGAATTGATCGTTTTCGAAATAGAATAGTTATGAGTGATGACAGGGACTACAGTGTGACCATGGAAGTGGGTGACTGAGAGGAAATACATTAGGTCATTAGCAAAGAGGAAATCAACAAGTGAGAATATAACATTGGATGGATTATTTAAATGGATGTCTACATCACCCAGAATGATAGCAAAACAGGGTGGAAAGAAATTGTAAGTTGATTGCCACTGTCTTCAATGAAATAGAAGGAGGTGAATGATATGAAGGGTAAGTAAAGGTGTTATAGTCAAATGCAAGAGCATTAAAGAAATAGAATGCTAATTATATTGTTATTTTGGCAAGAAGAATTTGAGGGATTGTGTGTGCCAGGCATTCTTGCAAGGCACAGAAAACACTTGTGTAAATACTGCAAGCCCTTGTCCTCTGGGAGCTCACAGACTATAGAAAAAGACTGTCACATGAGCAATTAGTGACAATACAGTGACATAGATGTATATGGGGAACCCCAAGGATGGAGTGGAAGGTTTCACAAGAAAAATTATATGTGAACTGAATTTTATGTAGTCCCTAAAGTGGAGAAGGGGAAGGAAAAATTACAGAAGGAATTATAAGATGTATGATGGCTCCTAACAATGATAGACAAACATAAACTCAAATGATAGCATCCTGTTATACTAAGTACTATTGTAACATGTAGTTCTTCATCATTAGAATATTCCCATCTCTTGGACAGTAATGCTCTTTTCTGTTCCTAGAGTTCAGTGTTGTTCTCTAATGGGATGACTGAAAGCGTGTGTGTGTGTGTGTGTGTGTGTGTGTGTGTTAGAATGTTGATTTATTCCTTCATTGTTTATAAAGGAAGTTTGATTTCATCAAACAATGAATATAGTTAAACAAAAATTTGGTTAAAATGGTAGACTTAGTCTATAATATAAGGACTCAAAGTATGTTTCTTCTTGAATTAATAGCCTTTCTAATTTTGGCTTTATTCCTCAAAGGTTGTGAAGATGAGAAAAGAAGTGAAGAGAATCCGTGTTTTGGTTATCCGAAAACTTGTCAGGAGTGTTGGCAGACTGAAGTCAAAAAAGTTAGTCATTTAAAGTAATGATCCTATGAGTAATAAAATGTCAAAAGTTGTTTTTATTCAATATTTACATAGTTTGAGGGTGGGACCTGGAGGAATGATTAAATAGCTTACTCATACAGCACTTTGTTTTATATTTAGAAAGGATCGAGTGAGTTCAAATGTGCTGTGTCAGCTTGTCCTTACATGGTTTGGACCATATTCGCTTAAGATACTTGATGAATTCTGCTGTTTTTTCAAAACTCTCTTTTTGGCCTTTTCAGAATGAAAGTCCTTTGGGGTTATGTATGTGTTTCAAGTTATTAGAAGTTATTTTAGGATGTTGATGCAGTTTAGCAAATCTAGTAATACCTTTGAATCATTTATAAAGATTTTCTATCACTTTATTCCTTGAATTGCTCATTAACTTGAAATGTTCAATATCTTGTGGAAATATTTATCAAAACCTTGTGTTCCATCTAAAGTTTTGAAAAACTAATATTTCTTATTTTCAATGTCACAAGTAATAAAAAGTATGTTATAGTTTTTATGCTTTAAGCATGAATACTTACAAAGTCTTCAAATGTGTTTTGTTCTGATTAATTTCTTGTGCTTTCTTTCATTTATGTTTCAGAAGATGCCCCTCATCTCTGATTTAATCAGACGTTGACATCTTTATATATTCCTTTAATTCCAGAGAACAAATTTTTATTTACTAAAACTAGATCCATCCTTTAATTGTAGCTTATGGAACTTACGTGACTTTAAATGCAATGAGCTATTAAGTGATTGATTAAAAATATTATTTGGCCTTCCCACTAAGGAATTGGAAGGAAGCTGTCTGTCAGTGATAATAGTCATTAATATGCCAGGACAGTGCTTATTTTTGCCAAAACCTTGGTTTTGTTGATGAAATTGGGGTATGTGTTGGGTAGGGGAAGGATAATGTAGGATGACAGTGTTTGTTATTTAGCGATTTATCATGCTTTTCTAAAAGAAATGAAGAGATTATAAGTATAATAAATGCTTTTCCTGGCTACATATTATAATGTGTTTTTTGCAGGGGCACCGAAGATGCACTGTTAAAAAACCAAAGACGAGCACAGCGATTGTTGGAAGAAATTCATGCCATGAAGGTAAGGACTTGTATGGGTGTGTTTCTGGGTCTCATGTAAGTCTGTATTTTGTGTATGTTTGGTGTTAACTTATTTGAATATTATTGCAAGTTGACCAAGACTTATTTTATGGGTCTGTTTGGTGAAGAATCTAGCACATTTAGAAAATTGTAATATGTTTAAGCTTGCATTCCCCCCCCCCCTTTTTTTTTGTTATTGAATTTGGTAAAGTACTAGACTAATTTGAGTCAAAACTATGCCAAAGTAAACTCATCTATGTTTCATAATGCCTCATGCCTAACATTTTATTTTTACTGTAACTTTAGGCATGAAATCTAAGTTAAATTCAAGAATTAAAGTGTTCATACTATTTGGTAATGTAGATGGGGATATTGGTGGCTGACATCATGCTTTGCGTATTGCCAACTCAATAAATTTTTGTGTGGTGGTGTCAGCATTTTATTCAGCTCTGTAGTAACTCGAAATAAAATTAGTGTTGGACCAAAATGATCTGTATTTTTGTTTCTTTCAGCCAGACTCTTCACTAGCATAATTTTTAGGTCTTCTCGCTGCTCTTACTTTGTGGAAACTTTCATTTACCAAATGACATACTATTAAATGTCTGGGAGACTGTTTTATTGCAGAACTTAAAAACAACATTTGGTACCAGCAATTATCTTAATTGCAGGGTCATTTTGCATGTATGTTTGACTATTACATTTTGGTGTAAGTTCCAAGTTTTGAGATAGGTAAAAGAACGAGAGAATTCTCTAAAGATATTTTAATTGAATTAGATTATCAAAGCTTCTCACCATTTTTTCCTTTTGAAGGGATGCTAAAGTGTTTTATAGGTCAAAGTTATCACAGTCAATCTGAATAGAAACAGATGTAGGGCATGATTCTTCTTTGGTGTGAGGTAATTTTATTTGTTTTATTGTTTTTTGTGGGGTTATTTTTATTTGTTTTATTTTCATAGTACTCCAAAATTTATGAAATCTATTTGATATACCTTCTTTAATCCCCTTTTTTCCCAGTCATTCTGTCAAAATCCTCTATATTTGCCTCCTTATTATCATTTGTGTCACTTCGGATTATACATCATTTAGGCTTTTTCATATATCTTTTTTCCCCATGAAATTCTTAGGAGAAATAAAATTCTTAGAGATTTTTGTTTTGAGGATAACACTAAGATAGGAAGTTACTGTATACCATATCCCTTTGCCTCTTTCACAATTTCTTAACCAATGTCCTTACTAAATTATTGCATTCCTTACCTAAATTTTTCCCTGTAATTTCTTCTGAATAGTCATTTATGTAGTCCTAAATTATTCAGAGGCTTTAAGCTATTATATAATTTCTAATTTTTTTTTTACCATGGAGAGGATGCCTTATATATAATAAGCGTATATGCAGTGTACGAAGAGTTAGAAAACAAAAGATAGCCATTAATCTTTAGAATACTTCCCTTCTATAACTCTTAATAATGGATTTAATTTAATTAGAAAGTCAGTTGTCCTGTTTGATCTGTGTGAAACTTGTTTGTTGTTATTCTTAAAACCTCATCAGAAATAAGTCAGACTCAGTGACATAGTTCATAGGTTTACAAGGTTACTGTGTCATGCCCATAGTTTTTCTGTTTCTTTTTTCTTTCTGTTTTTTTCTTGTGATTATATAAGACCACTATGGAATTGTTGCATCATAGAAAGCTGAAATCCATAGCCTTATGTAGTCCTCTAATTCATAAAATTAATAGTGTACATCTTTCTTGAATTTGTGGCAATGGTTAGGGTCATCTGAATTGGATGCTCTGAATTCATCTTTTTTTGAAGTGCTGTTTAAAAGCTGGATTAAATTTAAATATAAAAACCAGAAAAAAAAAATAACACTGTACATTTGCTTTTTTTAAATGTTAAATTTTATTCGTCATTTATGATTCTTTTACAAAATTGGTCTACTTTTCTAAAATAAGCAAATATTTAGAGCATTTTTTGTAAAAAAGAAAGATCTGTTACTTCTTTGAAAAGTGTTTATCATGTACATGGGAGTATCAAAGAAATAGTCACAAAACAAAATTCACAGTCTCAATTAAATTTGAAGAAAAACTTCTACTTATTCATTTTTCCGGATGAATTTTTTCCTTGGCTTATATACCACTACATTTTTATAGTCTTGTTCATGACATACTGTCCTATACTTGTTTCCTATGATAATAGGGTATTTTGTTGCAAGATGACTTCCTCGAGAAGAAAACCTGAGATATTTTTAGAAATGGGAGTTTGCCTTTTCTGGCCAAGAAAATAAAAGCCCTGATCTTTATGATACTATGAAATCATAGGTTCCAATTTTATAGACTATAATGCATGAATACCAAGTCTTTGCTGCCTTTTCTAATAGTATTCCTACTTTTAACTTTGATACTAGTATAAATTTTGGCTTCTGAAACAGTTCCCTTTTCTTTGGAAATTGAAGTAGCTTATGAACTTCTTTTTTAAATTTATTAAATTTATTGTGGTGAAATTGGTTAGTAAAATAATATAGGTTTCAAGTATACATTTCTATAATACATCGTCTGTATATCACATTGTGTGTTCACCACCCAGAGTCAGTTCTCCTTCCATCACCATATATCTGACCCCCTTTACCCTCTTCTACCACCCATCTCCCTTTTTACCCTGTGGTAACCATAAACTGTTGTCTGTGTCTGTGAGTTGTTTCTTTGTTTGTTTGCCTTATTCCTTTGTTGCTTTCAATTTTATATTCCACATATGAGTGAAGTCATGTGGTTCTCGAGTTTTTCTTCTATTAAGTTTTTACAGATCCCTAAGTTATTTAGCTAGAGAAGCAGATAGTAAAATTAAGACATATGGTGAAATTAATTTAAATATACAAAAAATTCCTTCCTCGATAATAAAGGTAATATAACTGGCTTTTACTGAATATTTACTATGTGCCAGGCACTATATTGTGTTTTATATTCACCATCTCATGAGGATAGATGAAAATATTCATAGAAGCATTATAATACTGAAAAGTTAAACAATGCTTAGTGTCATTCTTCAAAATTTTTTAGAAATCACTAAATTATAGATTATAAAATATAGAGAAAATAAGATGGGACCATGTATCTACCTTAATGCATTATTTTTATTTATTTATTTAATGTTTTTATATACAAACAGATGTATCACCCTTATAAAGTAGATATGTAATCAGGTAGAGACTAAAGCAACGTGAATTAGAAAACCTTCTTAACATAATACTCATTGTATAGCAAAAATGTTATAGAAAGCAGAAACTTACTATATGTGTATCCTGGGGAGGGGAGGGGTGTGTGTATGTGTGTGTGTGTGTGTGTGTGTGTGTGTGTGTGTGTGTGTGTGTGTGTGTAGAGAGAGAGAACTGCATTTTCACATTCTAAGAGTTTTGAAAATCTTAGTGTGTGTTGCTATTTAATTTTTACAATAATTTGCAATAAATCTTTGTGACATATTTCTGAAGCATTAGAATTCAATTGAATGTGAAAATGAGAGAAAGCTTGTATATCAATTAGTCACAAATGTGCTTTGGAAATTTTGTGAAAGAGTGAAGGATATTGTTAATCCACAGAGATAGTAAGAGGATAGCTGCTAATCGTTTGAAAATTGAATAAAGCTGTTTTAGTTCTTGACAGTTCAAAATTTACGGTTTTGTGACTATAATTGTAAACTGGGTTAATTGTTTGCAGCAGCCTTCAGAGCAGTTGGAACACAGTGTGTATTAGACACATCCTGCATCCTTTGAATGCGTCTGCCTACCTTTTTGTTAGAACATATAAGATATTTCCATCTAACACAGCTGTCCATAGGCCAAAAGAAAATAAAAACAAAGAAAAAAGTGGAATGAGTATGAATAGAAAACTACAAAATTGGTTTCTAAGTCATAGAATTAAAGTATAATTAAGATTATGAACTTTGACCTCGTAGGCTTTAGTTTTTCATCCATAAAATGAAGGTGATTGAGTTTGTAAAAGTCATATCTTGCTCCCATGTCCTCTTCTTTTATCTCAATTAGTTTGGAGCTCACCACCTTTGCTACCTTACTCTTTAATCATGAGCAAGAATAGGCTTTTTAGCTTCATACTGAAATAGTATTTTTGTTTTGAAATAGTCTAATTGGGATTTATCTTTTAATTACAAAGCAATGGTTGACATATTTTTACATATCATTATGATAATACTTATACCACTTAAATATTTAATTTACTAAATCAGTAATTTATTTTATATCTTTGATAGGGTAAGGAACTTTGTAGATGTTTACCCATTAAACATCTAACCTTTTACCATGATTTTTTTTTTTTTAAAGATATGATAATCTCCCTTGCCTTAATAAAGAGACAGATACATTTTGGTATTTAAAAAAATACGTTTCACGTATAGTGAAACTTTAAAATTTTTTATAGGTCTGTGTTTCTTCACCAGGTAATCCCCAGACGGATGGTTTGTTCTTATTGGTCCCAGAGGAAAAGGTGCTTTCTTTGAACTTTTTCTATTGAGGGCCAATTCCTCTTAATGTCGCTTTCTTTTTTCTTCTTTGTTACTTATGCCTAATTTTATTTATAGCTTCAAACTCTGCTCCTATTTTGGTGTTCCTCATGTATTAAACTTGTTCAGTTTATGCCTTAGCACCCATCATCATCCTCTAACTACCTTCTAGTTTCTTCCTTTCCCCTTCCTGTGAGAATAGCATCTTTAATAGTATAGCCACGTGGATCTCAACCTCTCCTCACTTGCTGTTCCCTGAGCAACCCACTCAGGTTATCTGCCCAGCTGTTCATCAGCTTGTTTGAATAAGGTTGACTCTGACCCATATATGCTGATGTTCCCCCTCAGTTCTTTCTTTGTCTTCCCATTTTACACTCTCCAACATGGCTACTTGCAAGTTGAACTACTGTCACTATTCTGGACACTTTATAATCTCTCTGATGCAAATCTTTCCTGTAAGATCTTCACTGTTATATTCAGCTTCGCTTAGGTGCTTTCAGATGCACCTGAAACTCAACATTTTACATTATTCACTGACCTTAGTTAAAAAGAGTTATTAAGATTGTGGCATTTCTTATAAAGCCTAAGGGCAAACACTGCATTTTAACCTTACCAGGAATTAGAATCAGGATCTGGAGAGCTCTCAGAAACTCATGTAGTTTGTTTATGTGTTTCTTTCCTGCCCCATTTCCCACCATTTCTGCTTCGCCTCTGTTTTTCCTCATCTTCCTCCCATCCTGCCCACTCTGCAGCTTCCTCTCACTTCCCTTCTCTGACTCTCCAGACAGCTTTCATTCCTTAGCTGTGGCCAAGGCCCCTTTACAGTGTCAACCTCAGCTCCAGAATCCTCATGCTTTCTGTTCAGGGGAAGAACCCACACTGGTTCGAGTTCTCGGCCTACCTTGGGTTAGATGTCCATCACTGTTGCAGTCAGCTACGGCATTGCAGTAAGAGGGTACAGGGTGATGTATTGTTAAGGTAGAGAAGAGAAGATGGATGAGCAAGTACCCCCAAAGATGTCATTGTCTAAATATAGAGCCTAACATTTTATACCTCACCACGCACGTTCTGTTTTTCTATTCCCGATTTTGGTTTTTATTGTCATTCATCTAGTTTCCTAAGCCAGAAACCTACGAATTCTTTTGAATTTCCTTCTCCCTTACCTACTTTCTAATCCCAAATCTTGTCCTTCACCAAGACCTATTATTTTTATCTCCTAAATATGTAATCACTTCTTAGTTCAGGTTCTTATTATTTCTCCCTTTGACTTCCTGCCTCACTTCAAATCGCATTCTGCACGGTGACCTTCCTAAAAGTGCAGATCTGATCAGGGTTCCCTCCTGCGTGACATACAAGGCCCTTTATGATCTGTACTCTAGCTACTTTTCTTCTCCACATCTTCCTATCCCATACTTATTATGCCAACTATATTAAACCCCAGACATATCAATCTATTTGATGCCTCCTTGCCTTTCATCAGGCTTTTTACACGTAACACAAATAAAAACTTACTCCTTACTTTACTACCTAATTCTAATTCTTGTTCTAGGAAACATTGCCTGACACCACCACTGTGATCCTAGAAGAACTAATTATTTACCATGTCTTCTGTATGTCCTCTTTACCTTTATATAATTCTGCTGTCGTGTTGTATGAGTCTGCTTTCATGCCATTCCTACTTAGCTAGACCGTCTTAGGAAAATAGGTTTTACTCAATTCTTTGTCTCCAACATCTAGTAATGTCAGGTACATAGTAGATGCTGCCTAGCTGGGCTGACTGAGTGACTTCATGTAAAATGTCTTTTATTGGCTTGTGTAGAATGTTGAGATTGCTCTGAACCTCAGTAGCTAGTAGAATATTACTGAACTGTTACTAAGAAGAGTCTGGAACCAAAGACTTGTTTTTGTTTTTTGATGTTAAGTTTGGTTTTAATGTTAAGTGTCAGAAATAAAAGAATGAGCAGGCTCTTCACTTTATAGTCAACCTTGGCCAGTTCTCTGAGGCCATTTAACTTCTAACTCAATTTTTTGAAAGGGATGACTTATTGCCCTGATTTAATATCCTTCTGTATTCAACTTGTGACATTTAAAATTATAAACAGGAAGTCATAGCAGAATTTAAAAGATCATTATAGTATATACTGCTCTCCTCACACATACAGCAGTATGTAGAAACAGCTCATCACATTGAAATTACAGTTTGCTTCCTGGCATGTGGTTCCTACAGCAATAAGCCAGCTTTTTGACTAGGTCAGTTTCCTAAAACTGTTATCAGTATTGCATTTTTAATATGTAGGGGTCATAGTTTTCAGTGTAAGTTATGTTAACATAAAGATATTATATCAAATCTAGGGTGGCCTTAAAATGTTTTTATCTTTTAAATAAGAGCAGTTGTGACAAATTAAAGTGGTATCCATCCCTGTTTATAAACCTGCTTGCTTCTCTTTGAAAATAAAGGGAAAGTTACAGGTCCTTGTTGGCAAAAGTGATGAAAATGCTATTACCATTAACTGAGTCATTATATCCACCTAATTTTAAAATAAAAAACCAATTTTGGAATTACTTCAGTTTAAATAAGCCTGCTTCACAGGCTACTGAGTGTTTAAACAGGATTTAGGGGTTGGAAGTAAGAAAGGAGTATCACATGAACTTTTTGTCAGAAATGTTTATTTCTTTTTATTTTGATTTGATTTTTTGTTGTTGTTGTTTTGTAATTCTGCAAATTTGAACTTACAACCTTGGCAGAATATTCCTACTAATTGTGAAAGTATCCAAAGCCCTTTTCAACTGTTAATTCAAAAAATTTGGACAACCAATACTGCTATCATAATGTCAGTATGAAATAATGTGGTGATTGAGCAAAGAGGCAAATATTACAACATAGTTTGTTTGAAAAGCACAATGGGAGACAGAGAGTCCTAGAGTAAAGCAGCAGTAATAACAATAATTAACTGGTCTTGAAAATGGGCTTTTTTTTTTTTTTTTAAAGATTTTTTTTATTGGGGAATTGGGGGGATGGGAACAGTGCTGGGGAATTGGGGGAAGGGGAACAGACAAGTTGCTGTCGTTTTGTTCTCAGTGCTGGGGAATTGGGGAAAGGGGAACAGACAAGTTGCTGTTGTTTTGTTCTTCAATCTAGTTGTGGAGGACGTCGCCTCACTGGCCCAAGTTGGCACCATCATTGTGCTCTTCTCTGGCGAGGCAGATCAGTCGCCGGCTTCTGGACGGCCGCTCACTGCGGCTGCTGGCCGCTCACGCTGGCTGCCGGCCACACACGGCAGCCCATTGCAATCCACTGCCACAGGGACTGCAGCCCACGCCGTCGCCGGCGACTTATGGCAGCCCAGCTCCAGGTTGAGCCGTTGCTCAGCATCTTAGCTGTAGAGGGCAGTGTCACTGGCCCTCACATGTGGGATCCGAACCCGGGCCCTCTGGCATCCCAAGCGAGTTCTTAACCATCGCGCCACTCGGCCGGCCCTGGGCTTTTCTTTTTTATTCAGCTGAGATGTCACCTGAATTTCGGATTAAACGGAAACACATTATTTTCAAACATTTACACTAATTAACATGAGCACATATTTTATATTGTTAGATTTCTGTTGTAATGGAAACCATGTATTCTCTTTTCCTGTGTTACAATAACTAATGTTAGTATTTTGCTACTCAAAACTATTAATGTTTTGTGACAAGAGAAACTCAGTAGTGTCTTTTTTCTTGACTATGAATAATTCTGTTTTCTATACCTGCCACTAAATTATGTAAACTATGTAGTCATCTAAGAAATAAAATAATTACAAGCAGTGATTGCTCCAATTAAAAATGCTTCTTTAGGGGCAGAGCCTACTTAGTGCCAGGCCTGCAGTTTTGCTTTTCTGTGCTTCCAGACCCGAGCCCACTGCCGCAACCATCCTGCGCCAAATCCTTGGTCAGCCAGGAAGCATCCAAGCTTCATCCCTCTCTTTGTATTTATGGGAGCTGGAGGTACTGGAGCAGGGCTGTATGGCATGAGCCTGGCATTGTTCAATCCGGATGTCCGTTAAGATAAAAAGACTAACCCAGAACCCTGGGACAAACTGGGTCCCAATGATCAATACAAGTTCTACCAGTGAATGTAGATTACAGCAACCTGAAGAAAGAAGGAAAGAAGGGTCAGACTTCTGAATGAAATGTTTCACTATAAAGCTGCTTAGAATGGAGGTCTTCCCAGAAGCCATCCGCACAATTTTCTACTTAACCAGGAAATATTTCCCCTTCAAATACATGAAATCATGTTGGTGTGTTATGTTGGGGTTTACACTGATTAATAAATATCTGAAACTTGAAAAAAAATGCGTCTTTAGGAATTTACAGTGAAAATGTATAGTTCACTTATATTCTGTCCTTCTTCAAAACTAACTAAAACCCTTTTCAAGGTATATCAGTTTTGTGTATGGGTAAAGTAAGGAGAGAAATCCTCACTTTTTTAACTCTTGATTTCTTTCGAAACTCAGTATATTAAAATAGAACTTGTGGGTTTTGGTTGTAGTTAATAATTCTTCTATTCTCCACAATCTAAAGTAGAATCCCAGGTTATTAGTGATGATATATTTTCTTAAGATCCATAAAATTTGCAGCCAGAACAGAAAAACAAAAAGTACAAGTGAAAAAAAGACTAGGAATTTCTAGAGCAACTATTATAAATTCCATGTAATATGCTGAGGTTAGTTAGATACATTTTAATTTAGAACCTGCTATGGATAGATGACTAGATTTATGCCATTAGGGAATAAATATACGCTCTGTGGGAAGCAAGCATATGAGTCTGATATACACCATACCACTGTTCTAATCAAAGAGCGGTAGGAACCTAGACGAGGGATCAGTTAATTAATTACTCAGAGGATTTAGGGAAGACCTTACAGAGTGGGGGTATTAAGTTGGAACTTGAAGAGTAAATATGATTGTGCTTTGGAAAAGGCAGCCTAACTATTAAATACAGCACACCAAGAAAAAAGCATACAGGTCTGAAAGTTCTTGGTGTGATTTGGAAGGGCTGCTCAGTACTCTAGTTCTACTATAATATTTAGCACATTGAACTATAATTATTTCTTTATATGTCTCCTGTTTTTAAGGATAAGATATTGTTCTTTTATCTCTAGTGCTTGGTGTACTAATTGGCATAAAGCAGACGTTCACAAGTATTTCATCAAAAAATTAATGTCATGGCTGGAATATGGAATGAATAGAGGAACAAAAGGTTGAAGATGGTGGCTGAAGGGTAGATGAGATTACCATTTAGAGCCTTTTAGGAAATTTAGATAATCCAAGTTTTTGAGTAATCCTGTGCATTTTCTAGAAAGGTAAATTTGAAGGAGAGTAGAGGATTGACTAGAGGGAAAAGAGATTGGAGGGGAGATAACTAATTAGGAAGCAGTGACTGACTTAATTTTTTCATGCATTAAGGAGACATTTATTAAGCCTATATTTATGAACGGTAATAAGCCATGTCATTCATTGTTCCAGCTCTGCAAAAATATTATACCATCATACAGAAAGGAAGTGATATGCACAATTTTAAAAATACGGTAAGTTATGATAGGTGCTTTGAAAATTTTAAAACAGTAAGAGATTGTTCCTAGCTAATAAGCAGGGAAAGTTTTCTGGAAGAGGTGACAGTTTAATAAAAAATATTAATGTTACTGTTGGATCAAATTGATATGATTTCCTTGATTGTTTTTAACTGAATTCCAGTTAGATATCTAGCAAGGATACTGTTTTATGCAACAGCTTCACATCCCAGACTTACATGTGATTTATAGCACTAGATAGCTCAACTTCAGATGTCAGAACACTGCTAATAATTTAATAATAATTTTAGTTATTAATTATTAAGCACCTACTCTGTGCTAGGCTCTTTGCTACAGTCTACATATATTATCTGTAATCTTCCAAGTAGCTCTTCAAGGTTCCTATTTAGCCCCATTTTACTGATGTGGAAACTGGAGATTTAAGGATTAATTGCTTTGCCAAACCCAGGATTCTTTCCAAACTTACCTGAATCAATAGTCCATATTCTTAATACTCTGCTAACCTAACATCTCATTTTAAATGCTCAATTAAGAATAATTAGGTATTATGAAGAAATGTGTTTTTGCATTATAATTTTAATGATCACTGTTAATTGAAAAGTGAAAATAATAATGAAATAATTTAATATCATGGCCTGTTGGGGGCAAAACAGGATTTGTTTATAATTTGACATAATTATAATAGTTGGGCCTTCTTAAAGATATAGAGTGCCTGGTTATCCATAAAGGATTTTGTGTTTACATGTAACATTTAGAAATAATATCTGGGAACTAAATACCAAAGTAATCAATTCCCTTGGGATAATGAATTAGTAGTAATGATTAGATTTCAAAAAAATATTCACTCCTTGCTAAATTTGGCACTATCAACAATTTGAATGTAATATGATTCTAGTAATAATTGATATAGGTTCTTTAATCTATTAACACATGGAAATATAATTAAGAAATAAGTATGGATCTTATTATCATTATGCCCTTGAAAAAGTTTCCTGGAAACTTGAAGTTCTAGAGAAAATACTTTGAAGGAATAGAACTTATAATAAGAAATAGTTTGATTTCCTTGAGATTTTGAAAGATTGCCCCTTATTCTTTCAGTTAAAGACAGCTAGCTCTCTTTTAACACATTCTTAAATCCCTTTTTGTTCATCCTTATATCTTAGTTGTAATTCCAATAGTATAGGGAAAGACTGCCTCAGTTACCTAATAGAATTTTCCTAAGGCCTTTTGATGAATTTCCTAAGTGATTCACTGAAGGAGAAAAAATGTTCTGTGGGCTTATGTAATTGTTTATTAAGTTTGAGGTTTTGTTTTTGTTTCTTTTTTTTTCTTTGACGCTGGGTTTGGGCAAGGAAAACTTAAGTTGCAAATATATATAGATAAAAAGTTTAGGAGTAAAAAAGTGAATATAATGTAATCATATAAAGCTGTAATTTTATCCTCTTTTTATTTAATATACTGAGTAATTAAAAATAACTATACATCTCACCTTCTCTAATTATTTTTATTCTTAACATGTTATTGAGAAGATATACAACTAAAGTGGTTTTAAGTATTTTATTTACACCTTATAAATTTCCACAAAATTATTCCATCTTAAACAAATGTTTGGATTCCATTTCAAAAATAGTAAACTTTTCTCCACAAGGCCAGCCATTTTGTTAGAAGAGGACCTCTAAAATGAAATAAACAATCTGTCTACCCTAAGTTATTCTTTAGAATGCAGCAGTACTCTAAGTAGAATCCTCAGGCTGATGTAATTGCTGTATCTCATTTTCTCTGCTCGCCTCCTTGAACATGCAGAAGTGGGTAATTTCATGTGCCAAGAACAGTTTAGATGTTTATTTGTCATAAAAAATATGTGATCATGTTAAATCACTTGAGTTAAAAAGGCTATTTTGTCTTATTTTCTAAAAGGTATTTTTACTGTGAGAGATAGGACTATATAATGACAAGAAGATTTTGCAGCTTCATTGGCTAAATTATTTGATAATGTTTATGCCTAGTTAATATCTACTTTTAAATGTAATACATATCTTTGGACTGTTGAATTTTACAAGTTCTTTTAAGCTTTTGCTCACTGAAATTGTAATTATTTTCACATCAGTAATTATTTTTGTATATTGATGAAAATAATTTATAGTTAAAGAATGCATATCAGTTTAGTTTTTAAACTAAGAAAATTCAACTTTAAACATGAAAGTCAACTTGGAACTAAAATGAGACAGTACTATTTGTAGACATTTAGTAATTCTTTAACTGGCTGCCAGCAAAAACCTGACACTAGTAAAATTTTCTAGTAGTAAACCTACTTTGTTTTATATATCACTCTTATTTAAGAACCTAAATTGGCTTCCTGTTGTCTACCAGATGGGGTCAATTCCTTATAGGTATTAAAAGTGTTTTATAAGTTAGTTCCTGTCATCCTGACCAACTTAATTTCTCCTCCCATTTCTGTCTACATACTACAGTCAATTTTGTATCTCCTACACATGCTTTATACATTTGTTTTTAAGTTTCCCTAGCTTTCTCTGATAACACTGCATTCACCCCCACCTCACTACTCTTACAAATCCAGAGTGAATCACTGTCACAGCCTTCATCAACCTCTAAAACAGTGGTTTTGTTGGGGTGGGCAGAGATACATGCATGAAGATTCATACCTGGGGTCGTATAATGGATGTGAGGTTTGTGCAACTTCTAAAAGGTTTCCGCAGTATGTTGGGTATCTTTATTATTCCTACCATTGATAACTACAACAGTAAACACAATTACCCTGCTTACTTCATCATCATATATACATAATAGAAATTAGGTAACCAGTTTTTAACAGTCTGCTTACTGTATTGCATCTTCCTTTATGTTATGATGGGTTAATTGGACAAAAATAATCTTTTAAATAGTTAATCAGAAAGAGGGTTTATTCGGGAAAAGAAAACAAAACCACCATAGCAGTGTGGGAACACGCACCTTCCAGCCAGCCATCCACATGCCAAAAGAGAGCCATCTCTCAAGATGGCTGCCTTATGTACACCCCCCGCAGGAAGTTAGAACCATAAGGTTTAACAGGAAGCCTGGACTAGAGAATAATAGGAAGCCCAGCTCCAGCCATAGACCTCCCAACTCTTTGGTCAGTTTCCTTAAAGTGCCAGTTTGCTTTTATCATTCCCCCTTTTGATCAAGATCTTTTCTCTAAAAGCACCTTTGATCAACAGTCAGGTCTTCAGGTCTCAGGTTTTCCAGTTTTCAGCCTTTTGTCCCTCGATGTCAGGAAGGACTTCCTCTGGGTGTCATCGCTTACATCAGGGGAGAGTACACGGATCAGTAACAGCTGGCATCTAGGGTTGACGGGCATCAGGAGCAGAGCTTAAATACAATAAGAATTAAAGATAGAATTAGAACAACCTAGCTTATATGGTAAGTGTAAACCAGGAGCTCAAGCTGGTAGATAATGAGACAAAGGCTATTATTATCTTAAATAGATCAAAGTTCTTGATAGATTCAACAACCAGAAAGATTTGGTAACTCATCTCCTTAGAGGTCACCTGCTTTAAATTTTGACAGCTGTAGCTTCAGATAACCAGACTGTGCTTTTCCAGTCAGGATTTGGTGCGACATGTGTATCCAAGAGTCTGCTTCCTGCAGTTTAGCAGCACAGAGGTTAGTCAACCGTACCTGGTAAAGGCTCTTCCAGCATGGCTGGAGGTAATCCTTTTTGAGGTGTCTCTTCCAGTAACAAAATCTCTAGGTTGTAAAGTATGTATTTTTAGTTTTTTATTTCCCTGGTGTGTACAGTGAAGTGATTGTTCTGCTAAGGCATGATTATTGTCGATAGAAGCAATTAAGCCTTTACAATATTGAAATATGTCTCCTTTCACCAACTGTAGATCAAGAGAGGCAAGAGCCAAAGGCATAGGGCATCCAGTAATTATCGTGAAAGGTGAAAGCTGATGTGTCCCAAAAGGGGTAGAGAGATTTAAAGGACTGTTGGCAATGGTTTTGGCCAAAGTCTTTGAAGAGTTTCTGTAAATTTTGCCAATTGAGTCTTAATAATGCCATTAGTGAATTCAACCAATCCTGAAGATTAAGGATGGGTCAACGCAGCGAAAATGTAGAACTGGCCAAATAGCACAGACTTGGTTTAGCACCTGACCAGTGAAATGGGTCCCTCGATCGCTGTGGTGTTCAAGAGGAGTTCCCCAGGTAGGAATAATCTTCTCTAACAGTGTTTTTGCCACTGCAGACACATTAGCTTGTCTGCAAGGCAAAGCTTCATTCCAGTGAGACTACATACATATCATGACTACAGCAGACTTACCTGTATCCATGGGGTGGGGGAAGCTGTATGAAGTCTACTTGCCAGACCTCAAATGGTCCATTTGGCAACTTAAAATGTCCAGGGGCAGTATGAATAGGCTTCCGTGAGTTATATTTGGGCAGGTGGGACACCTAAAGTAGGCACTTGATGCATGCAGCCTTATTAATATTCCCCACCAATATTGGTGCATGAATGCTACCATTTTGTCAGTTGACCAATGATTCAATGCATGTACAGTGGTTAGGAGTGGGAATTTTAAAGTTTCTGGTAGGACTGGATTGTTATTTGGTCAAACCAGAGTTTCTTTTCCTTATCAAACCAACAATTATTGGATCTCCAGTCTTGTTTTTCTTTCAGTTTTTCTAAGTTATCAACTGGAGAAACTTCTCTTTGGACCGTGACAGAGGTGTCATAGCTGCTGGTGCCTTTTAGGGCAGCATTCTTAGCAGAAATGTTAGCAAAGTAGCTTCCAGGGAATCACGTTTAGAGTGTCCTGGGATCTTAATAATGGCTAAGGCATCAGGTAGAAATATAGCACCCAATAATCCCTGTACATACGGACCATTTTTAAGTTTATCTCCATCGGAGGTAAGGAAACAATATTGTTTCCACAGCTTACCAAGTTGTGAGTCACTCCAAAAACATATCTACTGTCAGTATAAATGCTTTACCCTTTGCTAAAATGCACGCATTTAGCATAAAATGCACGCATTTAGCATAAAATGCACGCAAGTGAGGGCATATAATTTAGCCTGCTGTGCTGAAGTGGAGAAGCAAAGGTGCTGACTTGATGACCAGAAGGGGCTACAATAGCATAAGCTGCACACAACATACTGTTGTCGTTTTTATGTATGGACCACCTGTAAACCATGAAAGATCAGCTTTACCCAGAGGAGTCTTCTGTAAATCTTCATGAAGAGTCAAGTCAGGAGGTGATCTGTCAGTGTTAGGCAATGATGAGGGACTCCCTCAGTCTCAAAATGGAGAAAAGTAGCTAGATTAGGGTTATTATAATGTGAAAAGGTTAAATGGAAGCGGTTAACAAAAGGATTTCAAAGGAAGTAAGTTGACTGAAAGATGCTGGGTGTAGAAAGTCAAAAGTCTTGGCAATCTTACTTTCAGGTGGCTCATCTAGGGAACTAGCAAGCTCACTGGCCAAATTTACCAAGTTGAGGGTAACATAGCTCCATGTCCCATCCTGGACCTTCTAACCAGGAGGGAAAGTTTTTTATTTAGCCTGTTGACAAAGAATTAAAAGTTCACGTGTGGCGTCTACGTTTGAAGGAAGACCAGAATTTTCCTTAAAAACTACCTGAAGTCAATTATAAGTCATGAACAGATTCGTCAGACCTTTGTGAGCATGTGTGAATTGTGCTCCAATGAGGAGACCTTGGGAAGGCCTTAGGAATTGCTCGATGTCGTTTTCAAGCACGCTCCCTGTGTTCCTCGCAATTGGAGGTTTGCTTTTCTAACTACCAGAGAGTTCCCATCTGGCAGTTCTCATCCAATGTTGAGCTTGGCCTTTACCAATTAACATTGATTTGCTGATACAAATCAGAAAACCCGGGCTGATGGGCCTGAATAGTAATATCAGATTGCTCAGCAAACTAATTAGAGTCCTCAGTTACCTTAGGAAATTCCTTTACAGTGGCTCATTTAACTCACCTTTAGTCTAGGGGATTTGGGAGATGTGGGGTTTATTAGGATCGCCAGAGGGTTTAATCTTAAATGGGAAAGTACTCATAAGTTCTGAGGAAGGAGAAAAAAAAAAAGATTCAAGAGAAGGTGCTGCTGGGGACTGAGCTGAAAGCAGAGGCAGCAAAGAGGGACAAGATGGCATTAGGGATGGAGCTTGATAGAAAGGAGCAGTGGGGGAAGGGCAAGGCAGTGCTGTAGAGGAAGAGCACGAGGTTTCAGACACCATTTTGTTTCTGAATTTTTAACAGCCTTGGTTAACTTTGAGACTTTATTTTGTAAATGGGTAACTTTAGATTCATAGTCTTGTTTGGAAGCCTCGATATACCACTCAAAATAGGCATTCCATTCCTCTTTCTTAATTACAGCACTGTTATCCAGTTTAGTTTTAAGAAAATAAAGTTTGGGAATCTCAGAAGTTCCCTAAAATGGCCACTGATTTTCTAAGTTACTCTTAGTCAGATCTGTTCATTTAATTAAATACATGCATGAAAATTATCTGTGGGTGTTGAACATATATTCGGCCGGTGTCCCTGGTGGAGGGACAGTTTTAGAAGGCTTAGACAGCAGAGATCTCATTTTTAATACTGGGCCCAAAACATCCCGTATCTTGAGCAACCTGCAGGTCTTCAGCTCACCCCACTCTGGAACAGATTGGTCACTGAGAATCAGGCTGATGGCTAAACGCCAGTTCCAGGGAAATAGCCAACTGTCAGGGAGTTAAGGTATAGGCTGAGCTGGGTGGCACTATTCTCACTTTCTCAATGAGACGGCACAGTCTAATACTGGCCAAGACTGATCAATTTCAGTAGAAATAACCTCTATCCCCAAAAGGACTTTAGGAGAAGGCCAGTCTTTGTCTCAAAGGACAGCTTGTTTACTGAAGAATTCAAGCCAGTGTGCTACAATGAGTACTAAGACAACATAGACTAACAGATAGGCCTCTAATGAATTCACACACACACAGTTTTTTTTTTTTTTTTTTAACAATTCCCAATTAAAGCCTGGGGATCGTCATATGCAAAACGTAGGCCCAGATCCAGGAGAGAACTCACCCAAAGTTTCTAAGCCGGGGAGCAAAGCATTGTGCCCAAACGGTTCAGCGAGGCCTCAAAGTTGGTTTGCTCACGGTTCAGAAGCTGCTAGAGTTAGTTCTTCTCTTTATCCCGGATGAACCCAACCCCCCCCCCCCCGTTAATTGGCCAAAAATAATCTTTGAAATAGTTCATCAGAAAGAGGGTTTATTTGGGAAAAGAAAACAAAACCACCACAGCAGTGTTGGGAATATGCACCTTCCGGCGAACTGTCCATGTGCCAAGAGAGAGTGATCTCTCAAGATGGCTCTCTTATATGTGCGCACCCCCCCCCAAAGGAAGTTAGAACCATAAAGTTTAACAGAAAGTCAGGACTAGAAAGTAACAGGAAGCCCAGCTCCAGCTATAGACCTCCCAACTCCCTGGTCAATTTCCTTAAAGTGCCAGTTTGCTTTTATCTATGTCAGATCATTTGCATGTTATTTCAAAAATTAAATTATACTCTTTTGGGTTATCTGTTTTTTTACACAGTGCCTGGTGTAAAAGTAGAAGGCTCTCTAGTAACATGTTTCAAATATTAATATGCACATCTATCATAAATAGATTTTTTAAAAGGTTGTATAGCATAATACCATTGAATTTTCCTAAATAAAATGAAAATAAATTTCTATCAAAGTTGTTTGAATTTTTTAGTTTCTTTTTCTTTCCACCATTTAATAATAATGCTTGAGACTTTGCTCTTCATTTTTCATTTTAGGTTCAAGAATTTGAATTTTAAATACAGTTGACCCTTGAACAACACAGGGGTTAGGTATACAGACTCCCCACTCATTTGTAAATCCATGTATAACTTGATTCCCCCAAAACTTCTCTACAGTCTATAACCAATCCCTCGGGATTGGTTCCAGGACACCCCTCTGATACCAAAATCTTCAGATGCTCAGTCTGTTTTTTAAAATGGAGTAGAACAATGTATAGAGTTGGCCCTGTGCATTTGCAAATTCCCAGCAATGGATTGCTTTTGATCCATGGTGGGTTGAATCTGTGGTTGCAAAACCCTGGGATATGGAGAGTGGACTGTATATTTATTGAAAAATATTTGCATATAAGTGGACCCAGGCAGTTCAAACCTGTGTTGTTCAAGGGTCAACAGTAATGATTTTTTGAGGTAAAATTAGCAATGTGTTGATGACTTTTTAACGATGTAAAAAGGTATAATTATAAAAACAAAGAAGAATAAAGCCATGTGTACCATATCCTGAAATTTTTAATAAGTTGGGTTGATAACTTTCTGTCCCATTAAAATATGCAATATCACT